TTGCATGATCAGAACTGATACTCTTCATTGTTGAGTCCATAACTCTCAAATCCTATAGGATCTCCAATTGAAATTTTGTAGGTAAATCCTACTCTTAAATACACAAATATCGTTATAGTATGTAATAAAAAAATAGCTCATTATAGTCTTCATATCACTACTCCAAAATAGCCCAGAATACTCATTATGCAAAGTACTTTTTCGGTGTTGAAATATTTCAATAATTCTTGACCGTGGGTATATTTCTTGATCACAAAGGTCATTAATTTTCTTATCTCATTCTCAAGCTTGATCTCAACTCAATAAAGAGAAAAAATAACTAATGACATCAAGTATCAATAGCTCTAACACCAACGAAAGAAAGACCTATGTGATCTTTTACAGGGGAATACATTTATTATTTTTTTTCTTCACCTCTTTCTTTTGGCAAAAGATCACTTACATGTAGTCTTTATTATAATAAGATAAATTTTGAAATAAAATCAACATAACAATAAAAACAAGATCTTAACAACTTGATGCCATTGAAACAACTATATACTATGCTTGAGAATAAAAAATAAGATTGCAAGAAACAAAAGGAAGAGTGTCGGAGATTACCTCAACCGAGTCACCACCATCAGATGGTGAGCGAACAACAGTCTAGCTTCAATCTCAAACCGGAAAAGCAAATTTGGGCCAAGCCACACCAATGGAACAAGAATCCCTTTGATCACAAACTCAAACCCTAGGTGAATTCTCTTAGCAACCTAGTTTGAGAGAGATAGATTCTCTTTTGCTTAAACCCTAAAATCCTTAGCCATAAATCTATATTTGATAGATAGGAGAGAGAAGATCTCCATAACCTAAACCCTTAGGTTCTTTCTCAATGTGGTAGAGAGAGATCAAACATGAGAGAGAGAGAAACTTTCTTAAGAGAGAGATAGAAAGATAAGGTGTACTTGAGTAAAGACAATCCCTTTTTTATAGGCTTGAATAAGATTATGATTTTTTTTAGCTTGCCTCTTCTTGTGAGATTGAACGTGGACCGTCGATCAATGGTGACTTGTAAAGTGAGAGATCAGATCCTTCTATTCCGTAGATGAGCCATCAATATTATGGAAGGTGCATAGACCATTATCTCCCTTTTCTTAACCATTTTCCCATCAATAGAAATTAGATAAATTAAATCTAATTAAAATATTATGCATTTCATAATCTTTCACAAAATATTCTAAAGATATATCAAGTTAATATACACTTTCAATATTTTGTCAATATATGGTCAAAATATTCCATATCTTATTTGATTACTTGCCATAACATAATATTACCAAAACATGAAATAACTTAAACTCCAAGAAAGAATCTAATGAGTGGGGCATGCTACCCATGTGTGGCACATGTGGGCCCCACCCACTTGACACATGGTGAGCCCATGTGCACTATGGGCCCCTCCATGATATTTTATATAATTTTAAATTATCAAAAAACTATGCTAAAAAAAATTAGGGGTTTCTTATTCGATGGTGTTGTACTTTTCTTCTTGATCCCTATGAGCCTCTATTTGTTAAATTGCACAGAATAAGTTCATAGATTGGCTTTGTTGGATCTCTTGAACAACATGCGGCACATTCTTTGAACAATATGCGACATATTCTTTGAACAATCCATACAGTTTCAATCGAATTTATCTCATATTCTTCTTTTAGTTTTATTTTTTTTATTTTTTTTGGCTTCATGTGATCTTCCTGGTTGCATTTTTTTTTATGAGGTTATAATTTCTAAAGTGTACCATCATAAACAATAATTGTTTAAAGAAACAAAATTTAAATTTCAGAGTCTAATTAAATTTATAAATTTAAGAACTATTTTTACTCAAGATGAAATTATTATTTTTAATAATGCAAAATCTTAATGTGTATTTTAATTTCAAAATTAGAATCCCATTATAATTTTGAGGAATAAAATTTATGGTGTTCGAATGATTGATTATCTCTAATTAGGACAAAGTCTCTATGCACCTAAGGATACAAATCACTTGATAGTTGCATGGGCACCTACTATTTAATCGATATATGGTCATATGATACTTTTAACATATTACCATCATATTTATTTACTTAGTATACATAAAACTTTATCCGCACCAATATCCAAACCTTATAAGCTTCAATTTTCTAATATAAAATGGTTCAGAACTTGAAGTTTACTCTATTGAATCTATTTGTCACTAAAAGTATTTAAAATTTTGAGATTAATTTTTATGTTAATCGATAGTATTACTCAATTATACACTTTTAATTATAATCATAAATTTAAATTTATTGCTAATCTCTCTCACTATTTTTATATGAATATTTTTCTTCATAGTAAATCAATAGAATTTTTAGAGTGGCCATCTATTTTTATGCATGAAAAATGTATGATGGCACTCACATATCCTTTTAAAGTAAATTATGACCATCATACAATATGAAGTAGAGACCTAAAATTTTGGGATCTTCTAACATTGTATAGCTAATCGGCTTACTACGATTTTTAAAGATCGTTTGTAAATATTAATCTTAAGTAAACTACTTCTTAGAGTAATGCAGGGTGTTATGTTTGTGGTGTTACTACTTTTGATCATCATATTTGTGTCATGAATTTAGGTGTCAACTCTAACTAGCTAGTTATTAAAGGTACTTATGGATTTGAATTTGTTTTTGTATATAAATATTAATCAATAATATTTTGAGAAAATTATAAAAAAACCCCAATATACACTATGTATGCCATTTACCCCCATCCAACTTTTTTCTCTCACTTTTTTCCCCACAATAACCTTTCTTAGGAAAAAGCCCCCCAACCCAAAAGGAATAAGAAAAAAGACTAAACCACCTTTTTTTTCACATGCCCTTCTCTCTCATGTTTCCCATTTTTTAATATACCCAATGGGCTCCTGCAGTACAAAGACGCGCTTCGACAGTACAATTTATGGAGATGACGCGCTCCGGCAATCCCAAAGAACGCTCAGGCAGTATATGAACGGGCTCCGGTGGTACACCTTCTGGAGACATTTCACTCCAGCAGTCTATAAAGGCACTCCGGCAATAGAGGCTCTGGAGCCACAACACTTCGGCAGTGTAATAGCACTCTTCGATAGTGTATTCAATGCTCCGGTAGTATATGAACACGCTCTGACAGTGCATACGACGCTCTGGCAATCGTTACAAAGCGCTTTGGTGCTCGATACATACATGCTCCGACAGTATGTTCTAGACAATTCACTACGACAGTTGTTTACTGCGCTCCGGCAATACACAACTTGGGACCGATAGTCAGCGCCAATTGATTTTTTTTGTACGAGAAGGGCATTTATGTCCAAAAAATAATGACTATTTACCTTGGAGGGTTTTTGCGAAGAAAAGTTGTTGTAGGGAAAAAAAGGAGAGAAAAAGTTTGGATGGGGGGCAAGTTGCATAGATAATGTATATTGGGGGGTTGTTATAATTTTTCCTAATATTTTTTATTTTTATAATACTTAAAATCTAGATTTATTAATCAAAATTTTTAAAAAATGAAATTTTAAAATTATGCCTATAGAATAAAATTATTCTAATTATGACTTAAATTTCCAAGAATTAACTTTTTCTTTAAATTTTTAGCCTCTAAAGTAAAATATTGCTAAACAAATTAAGTCTTGTTTTTTACTATATAATTCAAATTTATTTCACTGTATGTTGTTTTTAAAGAAATTATGACAATGGTAATATATTATTTAAATCGATAAAGGGCTATGTTGTCATTTAGTATTTAAATAGTCATACTTTTGGAAAAAAGCAAATTGTTAGATTGTAGGACCGTGGTGGGACTATTGTTCGCAAAATCGCCCGATCTAACCGCTAACCGCCGGGTTAGATCGGAAGCGGCCACTGACTGGTTCTAGTTTTGGGCGGTTAGAGTGATCAACCGGTATGTTTAAAAAAAAAGTATATAAATTGTAAAAAATAATGAATTTGGTTTGTTAATACATTTTTAAATATTCTTTACATTATGGTAAGGATTAAAAATTGTTTTGGTCATTAATACTCACTTTTACATTTTCCCATCTTTTTTAAAAAAAATTTAGAAATAGCCTTTGAAAAATATAAAATTGGTTAAAATCTATTTTTTTTCATTAATTTTGAACTT